ATTTGTAATATTCATAGTTGTCTCATCTTTTCTTCATATTCTCAGTTCGTATTTTAAATAAGTACTGATCAGGGTCATAGTTAAGAGCTCCACTCATCTGAATAATATCTAATTTTTCTCTCCAAAGTCTCTTTTCTGTGATCAGTGACATCTTCCACAGAAATATTTTAGTGAAAGTTTAGGCCATAAATTTTGTCAGTTCTGTGTCAGTTCTGTTTCAGTTATCCATGCCTTCCAGATTTTCTTTGACACAAATAGCCAAAATTGCAGGGTTCAGAACATGCTGGGATCTTTTATTGTCTGGCTTTTATCACAAATGTCTGCCCAAAACATACTATGAAGGGCATTCCCAAGGAACAAATTAAGGTTGCTCTAGCCATTTCTAGGTTTGGTACATCTGTTTTGATTTTCATTATAACATAAAAATTTTAGGGCAGGCAATGTTCTGGTGCATTGGAATTGCCAGGAGACTCCACACAGCCCTGAATGCTGCCAGAGTTTGAAATAATATGCCAGTGAGTTTGGAAAGACCTACTTTAAGAATACAAATGGAGTATTCTTTTGATTTGCAAATGGAACGGAACACTCTTTATTCACTCTGAGTCAGATCCAGCAAATGAGGCAGAAGATGACCATCAAAGACTATGAGGGCAGCAGAGCTTTAGAGCTGCCTACAGCCAATCTACCCCAGGAACGTGGGTGTTTCAGTGGAGCCCCTGTACACACTGTGGTGTGCTTGGAGCTTTGCATACATTATGGTAACTCTAAGAGGTAGATACTGTTAACCCATTTTTACTAATGAGGAAACAGGCCCAGAGGGATAAATGATTTGCCTGAGGCTATAGAGCTGGTACACTGTAGAACAGGGATGAGGTTTGGGGTCTTATGGCAGTGTCTGCCATATGACACCAGGGATTGGCAAACTAGTCCAAGAGCTGAATCCAGCCCACCACCCTTTTTTGTAAATAAAGTTTTATGGGAACACAGCCACACCCACTCACCTCTATATTGTGTGTGGCTACTTCTGGACTGTGGCAGAGTTGAATAGTTGAACCAGACTGTGCAGTCCACAAAGCCTAAAATATTTACTGTCGGCACTTCATACACACAAAAAATTTGTTATCCTCTGCTTAAGACCGTAAGACCTTTCCTTACTTCTGGGGTTTTCCTTTATTTACTGGGACCCCATCCAATAGGACTCCTAGAAACATCTGCCACATGTCCTAAGATAGTGGCTCCTGTGTGCTCTCAGCACCAACAGAGACAGACTCAGGAGGGCTGTTACTCCAGCCTCACATGGTTTAATCATCACCTCCAACATGCAGGTAGGTGTCTTGCACAGTCAGCTTCCCTTCCCTGGCCTCGTCACAAGCAGCCTCTGAATGACCTGCTGTCAGGGCTCGAATGTTAGGGGACAGACAAGGCCATCCTCTGCTTCCAGCCTCCCTGCACTGTGCTTCCTTGCCACGGCCACTCTGGCGACTTCATCCCAGGACTCAGGTTCCCATGGTGGAAGACTCAAAAGAGAAGATTACACACATGTTCCATGTGCCATAAATGACTTGGGAGAGTCCTGAGAATCCCACCTTCATGAGAGTGTGCCCCTGAGCCCTCACAAGAGACAACTAGGTTTCACCTCTCTGACAACCACCATCGACAGGTTCCTGCAGCGTACCAGCCATTGGCAGATTGTCTCCGGGCTTCACTACCACCCATGGTATAGGTTCACATATTTTCATTTTACAGGAAAATCATGGGCTCAGTACATGCTAAGACCACGTCTTAGTCCATCTGCACTGCTATAACGAAATACTTAAGACTGGGTAATGTATAAAGAACAGAACTTTCTCTCTCACAGTTCTAGAGGCTGCGGAGTCCAAGATCAAGGTGTCGGCAGGTTCAGCAGCAGGTGAGGACTGCTTTCTGCTTCCAAGATGATGCCTGGATGCTGCGTCCTCCGGAGGGAGGGAACACTGTCCTCACGTGGGAAGGTGAGTCCTTTTATAAGGGCCTTAATCCCATTCATGAGGGAAGAGTCCTCATGGCCTCATCACCTGTTAAAGGCCCTGCCTCTTAATACCATCACGTGGGACATTAAGTTTTAACATCTGATTTTGGAGGGGACGCATTCAAACCCTGGCAGACCCTGATGGAGGGCACATGCTCAGTCAATGCTCCAGGCCAGAAATCATGCTTGGTCATGACCCCCTTGAAACCCCATTTGCTTCTGTATAATTGATCCCAAAGTTTAGTGCCTGGTAAAGACTGTCCGCCTGAGACCCTAAAGCAGGAAGAGGAGTAGGGCCTGGTTCTGCTTACTGTCCTTGAACCCAGTGCTCTGAGGTGACAGCAGGGCCAGGCTGGGTTACGCTTTGCACATCCTGAGGATGTGCATGTCCCAGGATGGTGGAACAAAGGGTCAGAGCAGGTGGGAGATGTGGGTGCCCAGGTCAGAGGCTGTGGGCCCCATTCCATGACAATTTCCACACAACCTCACACTTCCCTTAGACTTGGGGACACTGTACCCCTCCCCACTCATTGGGTCTGTGTTGCTCCCCCCAGTCTGAGAGCTCTGTTTCTTCACTCTCAGAACAGTGGTGGTGTGCCTCACATGGGACAGGCCCCAAGCAAGTGTCACCTGGACTGCAGGATGCCATGGAAGTGTCCCGATATTGCACAAGCTGGTGGCAATGGGAGATGCTGCCTCACGGGGTTCTCCCTGTCTTCCTCTGGGATTCATCTTTGCTGCTGCCTGTCTGACCTGATGCAGCCCTGGTCTCCACCACCAGAAAGCATTGCCCTCTGTCTCAGGCAGCCCAGAGGGGCCCATTCGGGCCCTCACATGTCCACAGGCTCTGAGCGGACAGTGGTCTGCAGCACCAAGGCTTCGATGTGCACACTACTTATGGGCCACCTATTACCCAGCTTAGTGTCTGCAGGGATTCCCTGCTGCTGGGGTGCAGGACCATTTCCACATGAGTTTGGAGACGAGCAGTCTAGAGATTTATGGCACTTAGTAGTTAGAAGAGGAAGCTGTAAAGTGCCTATAGAGCAGCTCTAAAAATTAAGACGTCTGCTACCTGAATCCACAGGCTGGAACCCTTGATTCCCGCACCTGGCTTAACGTTCCTTGCACTGAGTTTATTCATGCATATAATGAGAATGGAGGACAGGATGCATCTGATGCAAGTGCATCTGAGAACCTTCCTTATTCTTAGTTCCTGAAATGAAGTAGAACATTCCAGTTTCCTGGGAAGTTTATGGTAACACAATCTAAGGAGCAGGGAGCTGGAAGAAGTCAGGCTTCCTGACGGCAGCCCAGAACCTCACAGGTTTCTAATGTGCCCGACAGCAGCCTGTCCTTTGTATTCAGGTAGATTTTGAGTTGTGTTTTATCTCTGCCAAATACTTGTACGTGTCTAATGTGGGCCACATATTAGTATTAAATTCTCTCGATCTTGGTGTTTCACTTCACTGCATTTAGTGGGGAAATTTTGTAAGCTGTGGAGCACCTAGCCTAGCCTTCCAGAGGGAGCTTCCTCTCTTTCTAGCTTCTGCCCTTCTCCTCCCCTAAGCTGGCAAAGCAAAGTGTACGGCCAACGGCCCCCAAAAATCTGAAGTACTGCAGTACAGACTGAGGGGTACATGGCCCTGAAGAGCACAGGGACACCAGCTGAGGACGCCGCCAGCCACTCAGCGTGGTGGATCACAGGGCACCCTGGTTTCTGCAGCACAAATGAGCAGCAGTGTGGGGCATCTTCTGGAGCTGGCCAGGAGAAGCTACAGCAGGAAAGGCAATGAGCAGAGGCTTGCAGGGTGCAGGTGTCTGCTGAGCTCTCACCACAGTCTAGGTCATATGCCAAGCACTTACCTGTACACAGAGTGACTCAGTTTAGTGCTTCCAATAACCCCATAAGATGCTGTTATTGCCTTCATTTGCATATAAGGAAAGGTCAGCCCAGAGAGGGTATGTAATTTGCTCAGAAACCCACAGCTAGTAAGTGCTAGAACCAGGTTTGGACTCAGGTCTCTGAGACCCCAGATTCTAATCTCTAATCCACTGAAAGTTAAGCCAAATGAAAAGGACTGAATTTTAGGATGGGTAAAATCTTAAGTTTTTAGGGCCAGAAAAGTCAAGGGAGAGAGAATCAAGGATATGATCCTGGGATCTCAGAATCTCTCTTAAGCCCAGTCACAGTCTGTACCAACAAAGGTATCTGATGTGGTTCACCCACAGTATAGACCACTCACTCACTTGACAAATGCCCATGGTGCATGTCCTATATGCCAGAGATGGAGCCATAAGGTAGGGGTAAGTAAAGCCAGAGTGCCACCTTTCCCAGGACATTTATCTTTTGACACAGAAAGCTGGAGCCGGAATGCATTCTCCTGGCCTGGGGAGGGACAGGAGGTCTAGGGAACTGCCAGGGAAGGTTGAGCCCATAAATCTCCTACAGAAGCAGTACTCACACTGAACCAGTTATGAGCAACTCTGGCTAATTCCTGAGCCCAAAGGCCAACAGCCTCGTTTTCCCAAGGCCTCACCCACCTCACTTCCACCTCGGTCAGGTTACTAGTGTCAGGAATTGGACAAAGTCTTCTTGAGTGAAATCACTCTGATCAGTGGGGCCCCTGGGAGAGCCTGCAGCCCTTAATCAGTTCTCAGAGTTCTGTGTTTCAGAATGATCAAAGAACAATTGGGTCTGCCTGAAATCACCCTGAAGTGGTTGGTTGGCATTATTTCCTGCTGGCCAGGACAGGCCCTGAAGGGTGTGGGCTACAGGAAACCCCTGAACCAGGATCATGACATCTGTCAGAGGCCCTGGGATGTGGATGGAGATGGGCATTTTTGACATTGCATTCTAATGGTATTGAGACGAGAGCAGTAGAGAGTGGGCCATGGCACCGGTGTTTTGGGCAGCCACCTCATCACCCTTTGCAGGACACAGACCCTGGGTGGACCCGATCACTTCAGAGTAGGCTCACCTGCTGGCACTCACCTGCTGGGGCTCACCTGTTGGTGCCCTGCAACTCTGAATTTCCTCCCTCAAGTAATCCCACGCTGCAATGCCAATGATGAGACTGTGCTCATGCTAGGGATTGTCTCAATTCCACGTTTTATGAAAAGGCAAACCAGTCACAAACACATAAAATAATCATGACTTCCATGTAGCTCATAAGATGACTCATGAGTGCTCACAACACACCAGCATGTTTGACACTGGCATTATTATTATCGAGGATTATTTTCCTGAGTGGGGGGAAAGTATCATGTTCTTTTCTGGTTCTGCAGGTCTTGTCCAGGGGAAGGGCCAGAGTTCCTTCCCCTGGGTGGAAGCAAGGAATCCTGCCAGTGTCATCTGTATTTCAGTTTAGACACAATTAAATGGTCTCCCTGAAAGCAACATGACATTGGAATGAAGAAAAAGAGTAAAATAGACAATCCCAGGTGGTATATAATACAAACAATTGGTGTTTTTTCTTTGGCATATTTGTGGTTCTTTCATTTTGGTTGGGCCTGACATTCTGGGAGTTGAAAACATTTCAAAGAAGTAACCATGCAGCCCTATGAAGAGTCTCTCCTCCCTCCGATCTGTTTTTTAGACAGAGGCAAAATTTTATGTGAACGAAGTCTTACAAAGCCTCGATGTATATAACTTTCTCTAAAGTTCGTTTTATACACGGAGTCTATTAGAAGGATCCTTCACGCTCTTCCTGTGTAACCCGGCATGGGAACATGTCTAGCGCGTTTGTCCTCAGCCCGGGGCTTCCAACAGCCAATTATTTATTTCTCCACCGGGCCCTGCGCGTCCTCAGGCTGCTCGGGTAGTCAAGGAGGTCTCCCAGTCAGGGGCAGGCGCCCTCAGCCTGGGCTCCTGCGGGGCCGGCAGTGCACAGACACCCGGGTATGTCCCACTTCCCCATCCCGCCCTGGTCTTCAACTTCTTCCTTTCCCGTCACGTGTCTTGCGGCTTCTTGACTTCAGACTCACATTTTCCACTTTTAAAGGGATTTTCCTTCATCTCTCAAAAAAAAAAAAAAAAAGCAAAAACACACCATGAAGATGAACCCTGGAGTTGTAATTTGGGTGTGCGGCCACCAGGTGGCAGTGGCGCCTAAGTCTCAGGCTCCAGGAAGGGCGGCACGAGGCTGAACCGCCGCGGGCAGCCGGCCCGGAGTCCATGCGACCAGTGTGCGGAACTCACAGCACTTTTGTGGGGAAACTGAGGCTCAGAGGGCTAAGCCATGCAGCCAAATCAGAAGGGACGACGCCGGGGGCAGACCGGGCTGTGCCCACGAGCGCTCAGGCCAGCCCCCGGCACGGGACCCCGCTCCCACGCAGCCAGTCCCGTGTCCCCGCACCCAAGCTGGGACCCGGATTCTCAAACGTCAGAAGTACTGCCTCTACCCAAGGCGTCACGTGGAAACTCTCTGCGTCTTCTGAGACGGATTTTCATCTTTTCTCCGCCGCCCAGCCGTCCCCCCGCAGGCCCTTGTCCCTTGTCCGTGGAAACGGTGACAGACGCCGGTGTCCTGTCTGTGGGGCGTCACCGCACGGATGGCTGGCCGCCGCTCGGGCCTGTGCTTCGATCATAGGTAGCGGTTTCTCCGAAGGAAGCCTTCTCGTACCTTCTCTGGAGCAGTTCCGTGGGCGGAGGCCATCAGAGGGGCCCTTCCCGCCCTCCGTGTAACGCGGCCCAGAGCGCGTGTGCGCTCGTCCTCGGCCGCGCCCCAGCGGCGGCTGTGTGTCCGGCCGGCCGCGCCGTCCCCAGGCTGCTCCGGTCACGAAGGCCGCGGCGGGGCCACGTACAGGCGCCCGAGCCCGGGCGGGCCTCACAGACCCCACAGCCCGGCACCGCGGAGCCGCCTCCCCGGTGGTGCCCCGAAGTCCGGGTCAAAAACTTCTCCTCAAGTGGTGCCGCGGAGGCGGCGCCGGGAGGAAGATCCATCAGAGCATGGCGGGAAGGGTCACGTGACAGCCGCGTGACGCACCTAGCCACTCACGTGACCGCCTTCTGCCGCGGAGCAAGGCGGGTAAACATGGCGCGGTCCTCTGAGTGTGCATGCAGCCTCTCTTCGTTTCGGAGCCTTTCCCCGCCGTTCGCCGAGTGCCTGCGCACAGTGAGGCGAGCGGGGCTCTCTGCCCCGTGGCCCGCCTGTCCGCAGAGGAGGAGCTGAGAGGAAGAGAGGGGCTGCGCTTCCTTCCGGAAGGAATCCCCGCACGGGCCCGCAACGTCCACGCGGCCTCCAAATGACCCTTCCCGCGGGCGGCCGGCCTGAGGCGGCGGACAGGCCTGCGGGCTGTGGAGAGGCCGTCGCCTCCCTGCACAGCGCCCGCCGGGGAGCGACAGTTGGCGAGGAGAGGGCAGGAAGGCCGCGCGCCCCAGGCCCACGGCGGCCCCGTCCTTCCGGGTTGGTCAGAGCTGGTTCTCGGGCCGCTTCCCAAAAGCCAGAGCTCCTGGGCACCACAGGCCCTGCAGCTGTTGGTCCCGAAGCCTCGGTGTCCCAAGAGAACTAACACTTGGGTTTGACCTCCCTCCTGGGCAGGGGGCGTCGGGCCCACCCGTGTCACGGCTGGGCGGCGGTTGTCCCACGTGCGGAAATGTCACAGGCAGACATGTAAGAAAGGAGGACCTGGAGTCGTGTCTTAGGCACCGGTGGAGTAAGGGGTTGAAGGAAAAGCATGGATTTGTGATTTTTGTAAAGTAAAATCTCTTGGGCCTTCCCACCTTCCTCAGAATTTGTCTGCACTTTAACCCTTTGCTAATCCTTGCCTGAAGTATATCTCCACCTCCACCGTCTGCCTTTCATTGTTCAGGGCCATAAATGTCCTCTGTGAACCACGGCCTTTTTCTTGGATTTTCCTTTGCCATCTTACATTGAAAACAATGCCTTAAAAGGGAGACTGCTGAGATTTCTGCAAGACTAGTTTCATCTCAGATTTCTCTCCTGTCAGGCATAGGGAAACAGGCCCCTCCTTAATGGGCAGGAGCTGACAGCGTTGACTTATTTTAGTAAGTCCAGAGTGTTCTTTACTAAAACGTTAGACATCCTCCTCCTCAAGCCCTGAGCACTGCTATTCTGAGACCCCAGCTTGAGTTTTAGGAGGGAAAACAAAAGAAGAGACAGCCAGTGAATGGCTGTGATGTTATCTAAACGTTTGAGCTCCTGTTCTTATCAACTCCAGACCTGGAAATTCACTGTGCTGCAGGGACTGTTCTTTAAACAGTTTAGCCCAGAAGGTGGATTTTCTAAGAGTGATTGCCCATTGAAGAGAGCCCAAGCAGGGAAGGAAATTTAAATTCCAGTCCACTAAGCAGCCTTTTTGCAAAGGAGTCCTCCTTTCCCAACTTATCTTCTTTTTAGGAGCAGCCTTCTTAAAGCCGCTGAAAGCTGATTTCTTAGCCAGGCTTTGCTGGTGGTTGTGGGGTCCCTTCAGTGGTCCTGGGGCCCCCTAGTCCTGTATTTTTAGGGTTACAAGCATTTAAAAGTTGCAAAAGTAAGGCATTTGGGGGGTACTTTTTTATTAAAGAGTTTATTCTCAGAAATTGTAGGTCCCAAGCTCCACAAAACCTGGATCTGAGCCTGTTATTGTTTTAAACGAAGTGTATGGATCAGTGAGAGTACCCCAAGATAATTAACGGGAGGGGGGGTTACAGTAAGAGCCATTAAAACTCTTTTATCTTTTCATTTTTTTAACGTCAAATAAGAAAATCACACCTCACTAATACTGTACAGACTGACCCCTCCTTCTCCCCCGGATGCATGTCAGAGGCGTTCAGACACCCCTGAAGAGAGAGCGAGCACCCGCAGTGGATGGTGGGGGCCGGGTGTGCTCACAGGCTGTTCCCATTCAGCACTTGGTGTACGTGTTCAGCTGACCCGTGAGGAGCATATTCAGTTTTACTGCTTGCACTCGAAAATAAGTCAGTGAGGACAGAACCATATTTTTAAAGTTAAAATAGTTTAAAAATATTGTTTATTTTATTTTTTATCACACACTTTAAAATGTTTATAGTAAACAAAGCATATTATTGCAGTAGTTGTGCATGTAAAGGTAAAATCAAAAAATTGAGCTAGTGCTTCATTGTTATCTGATAGAAATATAGCATTAAAATCTGGTAATCATAGTTTTAAAGTATTGTATTGGTTGAGCAACCCTAATCCAAAATCTGAAATGCTCCAAAATTTAAAACTTTTTGAGTGTCAACATGATGCCACAAGTGGAAAATTCCACACCTGACTTTGTGATGGGTCACAGTCAAAATGCAGTCAAAACTTTGTTTTCTTCACAAAATTATTAAAAATATTGTATAAAATTACTTTCAAGCTATGTGTATAAGGCATAAATAAAACATTAATGGATTTCATGTTTAGACTTGGGTCCCATCCCCAAGATATCACATTATGTATATGGAGATATTCCAAAATCTGAAAAATTCCAAAATCTAAACACTTCTGTTTCCAAGCATTTTGGACAAGGCATATTCAACCTATATCAATACCATCTCTACACAGGAGAAAGGGAACAGGGCAGAAGAAGTAGGCTACCTGGCCTAACTTACCCAGACATGCTTACATAACAATAATTCCTTAAATGAAAGTAATTCTGACCTTTCCTTAGATCCCATTTGGATTTGCAAGCTGCTCTTAAGACACAAAGTTCCCTGGGAGAGGGATCGTCAACTGGGCCAGCAGTGGGTCCTTCATACCTTTGTGGAAATTGTTCCAGTCACTTCCTTGCCACCAGCAACCCATGCAGTAGGAATGAAGGACTAGAAAGAATGGAAGAAAAGGAATCAGAAGTTGCTGACTTTCGGTGGTGGAAGATTAGCTCTGAAAGTGCAGGTTCTCTGGTAGTCATGCTGGGCACTGGCTTGGGGGTGTGGCACACAGCGGGACAGCGTTGAAGAAGGAGAGAGAAGGAGAGTGAGAGCTGTAAAGACCAAGTGTCTTCCAGACTTCCCTTGACGTCCACTGTGCACTCACCCCCTCGCCCTGCACCTCAGACGACCTGGGGGAGCCTATTGCATACATTCTGTTTTCCTATCTCCATGGACAAATGAAATATGCTGGAAATGTTGATACTATGACTCCCACCTTCCACTCCAGGTGGGTGCTTCTGGAAGTGGCCCAGAGAGCTTGCATCACCCTGGCTTTGAGTCTGGAGGGAGGGCCACCCCACTCTTGTGGGACTTTGACCTTCTGATGAACACATGTGAAGACTGAGTCAGAGAAACTGCAGGGAGTGAGGGCAGGCCTGGGGTGAAACTGTGCTGGGAACTCCCGCACCATCCTCTGTTTTATATTTTAAATCAGGGTAAGGCAGACATAGCATTAATGAAACGTTTGGGGCTTACATGGAAACCAGCACCCTCTGCCTCACCCTTACCACCCACTCTTATCCACCAGAAGAAATATTTCTAATTATTTTAGTGGCTTTTTTCTGGAAATTTTTTTCTATTGTTCAATATTATTTCTTCAAACAAACTTTAGAATTATTTTAACCAAAAAAATCTCCTTTTAAATTTTCTTGATATTTGTTAAATTTTAATAATAGCTTTGAGGCCGGGCGTAGTGGCTCACGCCTGTAATCCTAGCACTCTGGGAGGCCGAGGCAGGTGGATTGCTCAAGGTCAGGAGTTTGAAACCAGCCTGAGCAAGACTGAGACCCCGTCTCTACTATAAATAGAAAGAAATTAATTGACCAACTGATATATATAGAAAAAATTAGCCAGGCATGGTGGCACATGCCTGTAGTCCCAGCTACTCGGGAGGCTGAGGCAAGAGAATCACTTGAGCCCCAGAGTTTGAGGTTGCTGTGAGCTAGGCTGATGCCACGGCACTCACTCTAGCCTGGGCAACAGACTGAGACTCTGTCTCAAAAATAAAATAAAATAAAATAAAATAATAGCTTTGAGAGAATCAATTGATTTTTTAATATACTTCTTTCCTTAATGAAGTGTCTTGTCACTTATTAACATCTTTCATGTCCCTCAGTAAATTTGTGGGGTTCCCCTCTATCCAGGCCCTCTTTGCATAGTTCTTGTTTGGTGTACCTGTAAATATCTGTGTGTGTATTATTCAGATAGCAAAGATACACACACACATACACACATCTTTGCTATTTTAATGATACATTTTATCAATGTTTTTAATAATTAAGAATAAAGTTATTTCTTCCAGCCATTTGTGTCCCAGCCACTCTGCTTGGTGCATACACAGCACGAGATAGATAGATAGAGAGAGAGAGAGAGAGAGAGAGATTGATTCATCATCTAGGTTGACTTTGTTTCCAGCCCAGCCCAGCCCATTTCCAGGAGCAACACTCAGAGCTGGTGGCCACAGCTGCAAAGAGACCATGCACTGGTGCTGGCAACCCAAACCTAGAACCTTGGGTAACACGCTATCCTGTAATATATCAAAATCTTACAGGCATGCGAGTCATTCAGGTCCTGGATCCAGTCCTTCAGCATTTGGGACGCCGTGTTATGGGAGAACCAGCTGGGCCTAGACGTAGGCTCAGAGGTCTGGATCACAGGGTGTCATTCCTCCACCACCCAGCTCAGTTCCTGACCCCAGCCTCACCGCAGGGGCGGGTCCCCCCACACAGAACACCTTCCGACACACACCTCGGGGGTAACCACCTCCAGGGACCTTAGAACCCCGCCAGCTGAACCCTCTCTTCCCCTGCTAGAAGCCTTCCCCACCCTGCGTGTTCCTGCCTGCCTCCCTGTTGCCTCATTGTTTCATCTTAGGCTTATTCTTTCAAGTACGTATTACAGCAGTAACTCTATAATTACTTGTACAGTTTTTGTTTTCTGTTTAATGTTCAGTGAGAGATACAATCTTGCCCTTTGCTGCTGCAGTCTCTTCCCTAACATGAGCACATAGCACACAGCGAGTGCTCACTAAACATTTGTCAAATGAAAAAGAGTGAAATTTGGAGGCTGCCTAAGTGCCTAACGATTGGAGCACAGCCAGGAATGCTTTATAATCATTAAAAATGTTATTTCCAGGGATTTTT